CCTTAGCCACTTGAGCCACAGGCGCCAAGCCTACTATACTAATTCTCAAAAATGGAACCCCTCCATATAAACCAGTATCAAATTCAGGATAATGAGCCTGGTGGAATTATACAGTCTTCAGACACAAGAGAGGAAGAACAGGAAAGGGTGTCAGGACACTACCTCTCCTTATAGTAGGGGCCAAATCCATCCACAGGATAATTAGGGTAGATGAGAAGTAAGAATCCCTCTACTCACCTGCGCAGGTTCCATTTCTGCCATCACCAGGGTATCCTGAGGAAATAAAGAGGCTGTGAGAAATGGGCAACCATGGTAGGATTCTCATGGTGGGGATCCTCACCCCCCTGAAAGTGAGCTGGATTACCATCTCTTCTGCCTTGTTCTGCAGCAAGCTGATCTGAAACTGATTGTACAAATTCATCTCTTCAGACCTCAATGCTGCCTCATAGGTGCTTTGTGACTCTTGAAAATAACTGACCCTCCCTGAGCCTCAGTGTCCCCCATCTGTAAATAGAGAATAAGGAAATGGCTCCCCCCTCATAAGGCTCTTTTGTATAAAACAATAATACATAATAAATATAAGCTATTACTTTCCAAAAATTAATAGTTAGGTGTATGTTTTTGATGTAAATGAAATAGCACAGTTTCAAAATTTCAGGGTATATTTTTGTCTTAGGATTTTGAGAAATGTGATCTTCAAAATTTTCCATGGAAAGCAAACACTTAGAGGTAAATTAACATTAAACCAATTATAAAATATCTGTAGAAATTATAACTTACTATGCCAAGGGTGGAGGATTTGAACCTGGCCCCAGCCAAACTGCAACAAAAAAATAGCCGGGCATTCTGGTGGGGACCTATAGTCCCAGCTACTTGGGAGGCTGAGGCAAGAGACTCACCTGAGCCCAGGAGTTGGAGGTTGCTGTGAGCTGTGATGCCACAGAACTCTACTGAGGGTGACAAAGTGAGACTCTATCTCTAAAAAAAAAAAAAAGAAAGAAAGAAATTATAACTTACTGAATAATTTTGCTACTAATTGCCTATAAGTATGTACATACAGTAGAACCTTTGTAAGTTTACCACCCAAAGACTGTAATAAATTGGTCAACATATAGAGGTGGTCAACATAAGGAACTACTAGGCTTACGATATTAATACATACATATGAGTCATGCCTGATCTATGAAAATTAGGTCATCTTAAGGAAGTGGTCAGTGGAGGGAGGTAACCAACTATGGAGGTTCTACCGTATTTAGAAAGACATTGGTTAATTAGGACTTAAATCTTTAAGTGTTTCATACATTCTTAAGTTAATGAGTTATACAGAAGGGCCAGCAGGCAGGTCAACTACTGGTCCTTTCTGCTACCAGGCTTACCTGCTACACAATCCTCTGAATGGAGCTTGCTAGGGGACCCTGATTAGAGCAGTATATCATCCACTCTTGTTCTGACACTTGGAAAAGGGCAAGAAAACATGCCCTGATCTGGAACCCATCCCCTTCACTAACCCATATGACCTTTCTCTTGTTCCACAGAGAGTGTCCCTAAGAGTCAGCCAAGCCTTCAGGTGCAGAATTTAAAAGAACTTACATCTCAATCTCCATCCTTGACCAGCTCTTCACTCCATTTAGGCTTCCTGTTTTGTAGAAACAGGCCAGAATCATTCCTATGACAGGTCTGTGCCTTCCTAAAGGAATTACCAGGCTTATGGACCCATCCATAATCTGCCCTACAAGTCTCTGCCCTTTCCTCCCTCACCACAGAGCTCACATCTGCAATAACAACCTTCATGCTCCCCTACTCAATCTGATCCTCAGTCTGTGTGTGGTCCAGTCCACAGCCTCTAAACTTTTCCTATCTCCATCCCAATCCTCTTCCTCAGACTCCTTTAAGTCCAAGTGCCCATGAGACATACACGTGTTGACACATTTGAAAATCTCCACTATCTTCTTCCTTGAACTCTTCTCATTACACTGACTTTCACAACTCCATTCTTTCTAAAAGTTTGGGGGAAAAAACAAACCCTTGGGATGGCTCCTTTTGCTCACAGCAAGGCCTATCTTTCAGATCTACGCAGCATCTTCTCTCTACTATGAACACACTCTGGCCCGACCCCTACCACAGTTCTCCGGGGTCTATCGCTGTGGCCTCCGCACTGGTCTCCCTATGTCGGTCCCCGTCTCCCCGTGTCCACGCCCGTCCTCTTTTCTCAACCGTAAATTTCTAACTCCGTGGCATGTCGCTCTCCTCTGCCCTCCTTTCACAGCCTTCCATGGCTCCCGGCTGCCCGGGCTGACATCCAGCCGAGACCTCACCAAACCCTCTGCCACAGAAACAACCGCCCCGAGTGTTCCTCACATGGTCGACGCCCTGGCACCTACAAGCCTTCCCACGTGCCAACCCGGACAGTGACGCTTTCTCACACCTCATCACACTGGCCAAAACGGCTTCCCCCAGCCCAAGAAGAGAATGCCCCTCCCCGGCAGACAACAGGCCGCCCTCCCTCAGAGGTGGGGTCTGACTGGACGCTGCACCCACCTGAGTCCAGCTCATCAGGAAGAGCAAAGCCGGGAGCGCCTATGACAGGTAAAGCCACGAGTGCACTGCTGTTCCCAGTCTCTGTTAGTTGAACCTTATGCCCGCCTCTGCACAGTGGGAACCGAGCCTGATTGTGGTTTTTTTCCACTCCGTCACCTCCGTGACGTCCAAACGCTCCATAGGCCAGAAAGAGCAACCAAAATGGCACCTGTAACACGGCGGAAGTCCCGCCCTCACATCTGCGCGCTCACGTACGCGTCCTTTCATAAGCTTTCATTGGTTCAGTTTCACCTCCGCGAAGCGCGGGCCGTTCTGGGTTGTGAAGTTTCCATTCTGGTTTCAGTCTTGGAGAATTGATCTAAACTTATGCTGTTGATTTTTGTCCCTCTTGTACCTTGAGTGATAGTGGGAAACAAATGGCCCAGCTCCAAAGGCAGGACGGGGCTTGGCTAGATCGTAAAGGCGACGCACGCAGATTTTCTTGGAGTGCAGTCTAGGATACTAAAGAGAAATGTTAGGGAACCTGTCATTTCAGACACTATGAAGCAGACCAAATTACCAAAAGCTTACATCCAAAGGGACACACAATACCATAAAGGCATTCAGTGTCTACTCTTGCTCGTCAGCTATCTTGTCGCTTTTCAAACACAGGAAGAGTTAAGCTTCGGAGCCTGTTTAATAAGCTTCAATATGTTTGGTCTGGAAGAAAAAAAGACAGGGCCATGCTCGGGAATTTGCAGGAAGGACGGGTTACTGAAGTAGCCAGTGAAATTGCCTTTCATTGCAAGAGAAAACATCCTGTCACGCTGTATAGTTAATGATTGTATTCCTACCAAGAGAGCACCACTTATTCAAATAACATTTATTACTCTATATCTAAGATATTTTCTATTTATTTCAAGAATGTCAATCCTACCTAAAAATGAAAGTGACTGATCACATGCTATTTCCTGATAGGAGGTTGTCTGCCATTTTCACAAAGGGAGGATGTGTTCTTATTCTCAAGAAGAGGTGGGCAATTCTATAATTTCATCTTCTTTCCGTAGATCATCAGATCTACAGCATTCCTACGTTTTTGCCCAGAGAAAGAAATGAACACACCACTAACAAGTTAGTTTTAGTTTTTTGTTTTTGCAGTTTTTGGGTGGGGCTGGATTTGAACCCACCACCTCTGGTATATGGGGCCAGCGCCCTACTCGTTTGAGCCACAGGTGCCGCCCAACAAACATGTTACAGGTTATGTTTCCTCAGGTGGTTCAGTGCCATTTAAAATCCGCTTTCTGAAATGACTGTGGGCAAAAGGAGCTTAATTTAGTTAGCAGTTGTGAAGTAACAAGAAGCCAGGAGATTGTGCACAGTGTTGAGGGCATCCCTATTCTCACATCTCTGGAATTCTACCATCCATCAGCCACTGTTGTAACGTTTGATGCATGTGTGTGTTTCATGTGCATGAATTCCTGTACCCTAATCATATTGCATTATACACTTCAAGCCTGTATACCCATATTCCCAGGTACTACCTTCAAGTGCCAATAACTACTAATCTGTGAAACTTTATTTATTTTGAGACAGAGTCTCATTATGTCGTCCTCGGTAGAGTGCCATAGTGTCACAGCTCACAGCAACCTGAAACTCTTGGGCTCAAGTGATTCTCTTGCCTCAGCCTCCCGAGTAGCTGGGAGTACAGGCACCTGCCACAATGCCCAACTATTTTTAAAGATGGGGTCTCCCTCTTGCTCAGGCTTGTGAGCTTAGGCAATCCACCCACCTTGGCCTCCCAGAGTGCTAGGATTACAGGCATGAGACACGGCCCCAGGCCTTGGTTCCTAGCTTTCACTCCAAACCTGTTCCCTTTTTAATCCTGTTCCATACACATTTGGTGACCTTTCTAAATTTCAGTTCTCTCATACAAACCACCTGGCTTAAGGATTATAAGAAAGGAGGCTTGTAAATCCCCTCAACACATGGCATATCACAATAGTTACTCAATAAACTCTAATTTTCTCCTATCTTCTTTGCATATTATATAATCTTTGCATTTGAATTTTCCTCTTTTCCTTCCCTTTCCTCTCCTTCAAATCTTCCTTTAAAAAAATGTTCCCAGTATTTTCTCTGTAGAAAAAAATATATATAATAATTTATGTGTGTTATATATATATATATATATAACAATAAAAACTATATGGCACTTACTGTGGAAACATGATTATTATTTTAGAGATGCAGTCTCACTCTGTCACCCTGGGTAGGGTGCCATGGTATTCGAGCTCACAAAAACCTCAAACTCCACAGCTCAAGCAATCCTTCTGCCTTAGCCTCTCTTCTAAATAGCTGGGACTACAGGTGCCCACCACAATGGGTTTTTCTGTTTTCAGTAGAGATGGGGGTCTCACTCTTACTCAGGCTAGTCTCAAACTCCTGAGCTCAAGTGATCCACCTCCATGGCCATCCAGGGTGTTAGCATTACAGGTGTGAGCCACTATGCCAGGCCTTCCCTGTGGAAAATAAACATTTGAAATACCCAAAGAAAACCAACAAACTTTATGCAAGGTCAATTGGAGGAAAATTTAAAATATTACTGGATATACACAAGAATGGGTAACTAAACATATTTCTTGTTGAAAGACTGAATATTTTAAAGATGGAAAATTTTCAGAATAAAACATAAATTCAATGCAATTTCAATAAAAATTCTGAGGACTGCAGAACAAGCAAAATGAAATTAGAGGACCTTAATTTTTATTTATCATAATATACCAACTTTTAAACATTAAACATTTTCCATTGATTTCGAATGAAAACATAGCAAATGGAACCAAATGGAGAAAACATTACTTCCACATGCTGAAATAACAAAAACAGGTCTTAGTTTATCTATTTTTTCATATTTAATCAGTCCATATCAAAACTATCATTTTAACTATTATATAAATTTCACTTTTTTTTTTCTCTAATTAACTTCTTTTTATTTTTTTGAGACAAGAGTCCCAGTATATCACCCTCGGTAGAGTGCTGTGGAGTCACAGCTCACAGCAACCTCAAACTCTTGGGGTAAAGCGATTCTCTTGCCTCAGCCTCCCAAGTAGCTGGGACCACAAGCGCCGGCCACAATGCTGGCTATTTTTTTTGCTGCAGTTGTCATAGTTGCTTAGCTGGCCCAGGCTAGGTTTGAACCCGCCACCCTTGGTGTATGTAGCTGGTGCTGTAACCACTGTGTTATGGGCACAGAGCCCAATTAACTTTTTAGTTAATTCAACAAAAATGTACTAGAGACCTATACAGTTAGGCAGCACGGTTACTTGTGCAAGATGAACACTGCAACCTAACATCATCAACACTTCCCCTTATGGAGGTTAAACTGCAAGTAATATAGAAAATAAAGGAGGTAAA